TCTCTCTCTCTCTCTCTCTCTCTCTCTCTCTCTCTCTGTGTCCAGTACTAACCTGTGAAGTTGGCGCCTTAATGCAGGTACCTCGAAGATGGAGCTGAAGCGATGGCGCCACAGGTAAGTACCACTGGCCTCCGCCAATATCTCTCCCCACTCTACGATCTACCACCTACCAGCGCCCAGCGCTGAAGACTACTCTATGGCTATGGGCGCCCAGCGCCAAAGACTACAGCTAGCGCTAATACTACTGCCTAGCGCTGAAGACTACTGCAGCGCTCCTCCTGAGTGCTGCGGCCGAATCCTGAAGACTACTCGTGCCTACTGAAACTCCTCCCCATGAAGTGCCTGGGAAGCGCCCTATGAACTACCCGGGTGCCTCCTGACTGCAGGCGAGCAGTCCAGGAGGCTGCTCTTGCCAATGCCGATCGGAGGCAGGGGCTGCCGCTGCAGCTCCTGCTCAAGCTCGTGAGGAACAGGCTATTTCTGGCCTGTTCCGCATCCCTGTTTACGTGCCTGAGTCTTAGGGGCGGTTGAAACAATGAGGGCCTGAAAATGGCCCTCCGTTTCAGGCAGGAAAAACTCTGGGTCTGAAAGACCCAGAAATAGGCTGAAACGGAGTAGGGCCTGCAGGCCCTCGTTTTTCAGCTTTCAGACTGAAACGACCGGGGCCTGTAAGCCCTAAGTTTTAGGCTTTTAGGCTGAATGTCCGGGACGGGCCCTGCAGGGCCCATGTGGCTACGCAGTATGCCACACCCAAGGTCCTTCTGAATTATTTAACGTCGCAGACAGGAAGACGATCACAGCCAGGGTCCTAACCCAGAACCCGCCAAAAATATTTATAGACAGTCTGGTGAGCGTTTGTCAAAGAACTGGAATGGCCAGCATGACCTCTATTGTGCAGCAGCAGAACTGAGGACTTGCGGCAAAGCATGCGTGTACTAGTCCCAGCGAGTTGGCATGGTGACCGTGACCCGAGTGCTTTGACTGTGACACGAGTGCTTCGTCCAAGGCCCTTTAGAGGCTTCGCCCGTCTCCCACCAGCTTGCTGCCCAAGAAGAATGTTGACTCTCAAGGTTGAGCGCTCGTTACACCTCACAATGAGAGGACTCTCAAGACAGAACTCACTTCCTCACGGTAAGAAGTAATGAAGAGGGTAGATAAGGAAGAGAGCAACGTACCTCATAATGCTGCCCCCAACCACAGATTTCTCACCGGCAACCTGACGTGCATTTATGATGACCGGTCTCTGCCTCGGCACAAAAAACAGTGAAATGCAGTTCCACCTCGGCTTAAATGCCACATCAGCGAGCTCTCATCATCCAGAGTACACCCCTTATGTCACCACATAGACTTCCCGGCGCACCCACACGACCCTGGGCTGCCTATCGTTCAACGCCCAAGCCTTATCACTGCTTCACACCTCATGCGAAGCACCGAACAGCTAATGTGAAGCACCAGTAAAGCGCAGTTCGAACCAGCTCCGATACCAAATTGCAAGGAAAATGAGCAATAGCGAGATGACAGTCTCCAGATTGCACAATCACATTGAAAGCCAGAAAGTATCACAGTGTCCGGAAAGCAGCATTGCACCAATATAACACCAATGGAGAATCGTAACACTGAAAACCAAATGACAATGAGAGCTCGCGCGAGCTCTTTCCTATATGGAAAGAGTCTGCCTGCCCCGGTGGCCTGGCTGGGCTGGGCCTGTGCCCAGAAGCTTCCGGTAGGCCCCAGGAGGCGGTGCCTCTGCTGCAGCTGCTGGGCCTCATTCAGTTAGGCTCTCCAACTCTGTGTATGTTGCTGCCCAGGGCCTGCATTTTAGAAAAGGCCTGGAAAGCCGAAGAAAGTCTTTGCAGCACGGGTCCTGTGTTCCCTCAACCAACTGGCATGACACAACTGTCTGAACCCCGAAATGCAAAATTAACAGCGAGGACCTTTGTGCTCTGCCAGGCCCGCCTTTACTTAGGGCGGGCACATCTGCAGTAAGGGCCCCTTGGGCCTGCCGAGGAGCCTGATCCTCACACTCTCCTCCTATTCACATTCTCAGGAATGCCCTCACTCAGGGCGTGCTCACACTACCACTTTCCTGAATGTATCGGATGGATATTATGTCCAAATGGGTCTTTGTTTTCTTTTTTTTCTTTTTTTTTCCGTTTCTTTCTAAGATTAGTGCCCTGCTAGCAAGGAAGAATCTGAGTAAATAGTGCAGTCAAGCCTAATTTCTCATTTGTTTTCTTCTTTTTTTTTCCGATTTCGCTTTCAATCAATTTTCTTTGGGCCCACCACCTTTTTCCCTCCGAACCTGCACCGTGCCGGATCACGGTTCATCTTGCCATGGTCGCAGTGCACTGCGTTTTGGTGAATAGTAGGGGTCAGTGAACTGGTGGTTTAAACGACCAGTACTTCCTAAAGTTGAGCCCGTTAACAAGCCACAAGTTTAGGAAACGTATGGGCCACTACAGGAGTGCCCGAATTCATTCGACTAGAAACGTTTCTACTCCATTTTTTCCCACGGCGATAGCTGGGCCAAGTACTGGTGGTTTAACAGGCAACGGCTTTGGAGCATGGAAGACAGAATATGTATGTGGATGTGGGTGGCACATCAATGCTATACGACTTACCATCAGTGCCTCCCTGTACATGTAGGACTTCCCATGGTCCTCTATACGCAGGTAGCAATTTATGAGAAATTCCCTCTTCTGGCACGAATTCCTTCGGCTTGACCCACACTAAATCACCAACTGCAAACTTTGACGGTCCGCGGTGCTTATTAGCATGCTTTCAAGTTATCATTTTGAATTGGGTGTGCCTGATATTCTCAGTGACTTTTTGCAAGTCTTTCTCATACTTCAGTGCAAATTCTTAGGTACCGGGAGGTAATCTCTGAATCTGATCCGGATCTCGACCATCAATCGGTCTGTGTGGCTTCCACCCTCTGTGCATCTCATTAACTCAGGACAATCCTTTCCTTCACGCAGATCAATGATCCCGCCTGATGTGGACGGTAACTGCAATATTGACAGCATCGTGGATCAGGCCGAACCTAGAACCGGTAGTAGGGGGAGGCCAAGTCAACAGTCAAATGGTAATACCAAGATGTGGAGGAGAACAAGTGGTTCCCCAAAGAGCAACTTTGTGAGACCTCAACCCCAATTGTCTCACACTATGAGCAAACATGTAGAGGGATTCGTGAATTTGACAGGTGGACTACTCTAATGCTGTCATCGACATTTCAACCTGATGAANAATTGTCTCACACTATGAGCAAACATGTAGAGGGATTCGTGAATTTGACAGGTGGACTACTCTAATGCTGTCATCGACATTTCAACCTGATGAACCATTAAGCAAATGCCAAACCAACACTGCCGAACTCCTATAGCCTTAAGGGCATTGCTGATTTCACAAGGGAGTTTCAGCTAGAGCTTAAGAACAGTAGAGGGTTCTAGAAGTCAGTAGGTAGGGAGTCGCCGCATGTCCAGTCCTGGTCCCATTGCAGCTCAGTCCCAGGGAAAGCCCACGACAGACCGAATCTTTGTCTGGCGCAGCAGGGGCTGGCAGGAATTTTCCAGAATCACAAGGGAGGCAGAGGCACAAGCACAACAGGGAGACAAACGTCAGGAAAAACACCTTTTCTCATTCTGCTCATGTGAAAGCACTAGAGCATTATCGACCGACCAAGATCTTGGTTGGAGGAGCAGTGTGTGGGAGGCACGTAGTTGGCGGTGCAGGGCGCCATAGCCATGAGCACAGTAGCTGAGAGAGAGAGAGAGAGAGGAAAGGGCGAGTACATTCACAGAGGGATCATGTGACCTGTGTGTGTGTGTGAGTGTGAAGATGAAGGCACAGCAGTGAGAGAGAGAGAGAGAGAGGAGAGAAAATTACCTGTTCGTTGTTGTTGCTGGCAGGCATAGCCACCATCTTGAAGACCCTGTGTATATCATTTCAAGTTGTAATTAAGTTCTTTGTGTGTGCTCTTATCATGTGTATCCTGCTTTGTTGCAAACCCCTTTTCGTCGACCAAAAAGGGGTTTGAACAGTAGAGGGTTCTAGAAGGGTTCTAGAACTCCTAGAACCCTTTTCTCGTTTGGTGACTATGCAGGACAGAAAGAGACGGACCTCGATGCGAGATTGACCTCTATGTTGGCATCCATTTCCTGCAGTTCATCGTCTTGGCCAGGACAGAGCATCCAGTCCGGGATGTACGAAGTAAGAGGAAGACCATTCTCCCTGAAGCTGCTGGGGCCCTCATCACCTGCTGGCTCCACTTCTTTGCCAATCTGTAACGGAGCAGCTCTTGCAGACTGAGTACCATTTTGACTTTCGTGCCTCGATTCCTTGCTGCCCTTACTCTGTGCTGCTTCGCCTCGCGGACTATCCTGCTCTCCATTACCCGCCGAGGCCGTCTTTGTCGCTCTCATTTCGTTCTCCCTTGGCCACTGTGCTATTTCCTCATCTTCTTGGGCTGGTATCTCGCTCTCTGACAGCCAATCGTCGGACAATGAGAACGCAGACCCAGACAAGAAGCTGCTGGAAGGACCATAGCTCTCTCTCCTATGGTCGCAACAACACGAATGGCCGCCTTCCTCTGCTTCCAAGTCACTCACCCCCCCTCGACCATCTGTACCCGCACTCTCGCTGAGCACAGTGGTGAAGCAATGAATCCGGACAAGTCTTCGAGGACACATCAGCATCGTCACGTTCCTCAGGTCCACATCAGCATCAACTGTCAGCATCCCAGTCAGACCTTGCCGCCATCTCAGTACCATGCCAACCGTCCCCTCCACCCCCCCGTTCTCCCCTTGTACTAATACCCGATTATGTCCCCAGACAACTCCTACCCCTTCGCTACCCCGCTTCCGACTCTCTGATTTCCCTCTCTCCATCCACACAGAGGACCCGATTGTCTGAGGGCTCCCCACCTCCCACCCTCCATCCTCATCTGTCCCTCTTTCTTTCTCCTGCTCCTCCATATCCTCTGCCAGCTCCACCCTCCCTCCCTTGAACAACACCCTCTTCACCAACGTTATTCCCTCCCCCCCTTCCCCCCCCTTGCCCCCTTGCATCCCCCCTCCTTCTCCCCCTCCCACTCCCCCTGTTCCCCCTGTTGAGTACCCTCCTCCTTCGGCCGTCTGCTGCCTCTCCATTCGCCCGCTCTCGTCCATGTATTCTAGCCAGTCGATGTGTATCACCAAAACTGGCGGGACAATCACATTACTCTCACTCGTCTCTCGGCAGCTGGGACCACCACCACCTGCCGTGGGACCACCACCCGACGGAGCTGTTCCCCCCATCCTTGACGCCCGCAACCGAACGGTCACATTGGTGATCCGTACACACAGCCCCAGCAGAATCTTCTCCACTAATCGGGCGATGACACGTACACCATCGTCAACGCCGAGGTAGCCAACTCCACCTCTCCATCCTCCTCCTCCTCCTCCTCCTCCTCCTCCTCCTGCTGCTGCACTTGTTTCTAAGCCGCACGACATGGGCCGCCCTCCAGATGAAAATCCCCCCCCTGCTTCCCCTCGTCCACCGGGATCTCCCGCGACAATCTCCCTCAGGGAGAGTACCCTTTCACTCTCTGCCAACACTGCGCCCTCACTCTGCTCCCCTTCCGCATGTCGTCCGCCCGTTTCTGCCCGTGTTGCAGCTCTCGCACGTGGTGCCAGAGAGAGGTCCACATCTTCAAGCTCCACCTCACAGGACTTCGTTGACAGTGCTTTCCACGGGATTCGAACTCGCACACTGCCAACGTACCCTGACACGAAGGCCACCAGGGAGGCATCTCCTATCTTACCAGCCGCCATACATTTCAAAACGGGAAGAAAAACAAACAGAACGAAACACGTCAGCGAGCAATAAACCAGAATAAGATAACCAAACATAAATATGGGGGAAAAATGGGAGTTAAAATTGCTTCGTATGACCAACCCATGGTATTCTTCTTCAGTAAAAGGCGGAAGAATAGTCCGCCTGGGACGCCGGGTCCGTTTCCCAGCTTTGTCAATAAACAAACACTTAAAAAAAAAAAAAAAAAAAAATAGTCCGCTATATGCAGCACCTAAATGAAACCAACCTGTTCAGCGAATTACGCGGTTCTGCACCAAAATGTGGAAATGCATCAAATAGAAAATGCCAAAAAACAGAAAGTTTTCGGAAGACCCGCAAAAAAAAAAAAAAAAAAAAAAAAAACACCAAACAAAAAACACCACTAAAGAAAACACCCCCCCCAAAAAAAACCAAAAAAAAAAAAAAAAAAA